TATAAATTAATATACTAAATTACTCTAAAAAAAGTTTTATTTTTAAATTTTTTTAGGATGCGAGAGGCTGCAAGAAAGATAGAAGAAAAGCATTTTTTCAACCATGCAACACATGTTGAATTTCTACCTGTTGAGTGGAGGTCAAAACTTACTCTTGATGGAGGTAAATTTTGTTTAAAAACGGAATGATTTAGCCAGTGGTAAACTTTTACTAAGTTATTGTGGAAATTTTTGGAAAACACTTTTTACATAGTTGTTGTTATTGTTAAGTGTCTTTGAGTTGGTTCTGACTCATAGGAACCGTGCATAGGGTTTCCAAGGAGCGGCTGGTAAATTTGAACCCCTGACCTTGTGGTTCAATTTGACCTTGCGGTCCAGTGCATTATCCTACAGTGCCACACCAGATCATTGGGAACGAAGTATCTTCAAAGTCACTCTTTTTTGTTGATTATTTAAGAAAAATAAGAATATTGATGTTTAAAATAATTTTACTTCCTTTTGTCATTTTATATCACCATATGGGTAATGTACTGGACTGCAAGATAGGTTTGAACTTCAAGGTCAGCGGTTCAAGCTCACCAGCCTCTCCTCAAAACCCTATGGAGGGTTGCTATGAGTCGGAACTGACTCAGTGGCACTTAACAACAACAGCAACATAGATTTCACAGATAGTGCTGTTTTTGTGCATGTGTTGTATGGAGAATTTTGAGAAGATGCTGGAGTAATATGGAGGGTCCAGAACAATTACTAAATATTTTGACAGAAAAGTGATTGTTAATAGTATGCAAAAATTTTTTCTCAGTTAATTCAAGTAAGATTAAACTAACAATCAGAATCTAGGTCTGTATGATATCATAGCCCATCCCAGTGATAAACAGTCTCCCTGAAAGACTTCCAAAAATCTCTCCACATCAATGATCCTATCTCATAATTTAAATCTAAGAGAACGTTGTAAACTGAGGGCTTTAATTAAATGTTAGTCATTCATTTTTGTCCTTATCCCTTAGAGCTTAAAAAATTTATCTGGATGGGTGAATGAGAAAAAGATTGAGACAAAGATCCATTCAAAAGATTGAAATTAAGGGAAAGTGGTAAAATTTCTTTCAGAGTACCATTTCAGAGAACGAAGAAAGTCCAAAATTAGTTTTTGTTGTTTATTGTTTGTTTTTTCCCCTTGAGTCTCTGGGTTTAATAAATCACAACACAGAAAACAAAGAACAGAAGACAAAGCCTGTGACATAGGCTTGTTCAGAATTCAGATTAGAGATGGCAGTGTGGTATCAGGATGCCTGAAAGGTGTCACCTTCAGTAGGTGTGGTGGTGGTAGTGTGCCATAGAGTCATTTCTGACTCAGTGATTCTGTACAGGGTTTCCAAGGCTATAAATCTTTACAGGAACAGAAAGCCTCATCTTTCTCCCTCAGAATGGCTGGTAGTTTCGAACTGCTGACCTTGAGCTTAGCAGCCCAACTTGTAACCACTATGCAAGAGCTCCTTTCAGTAGTTATACTAGGGCAAAATTCATCCCATAATAAAAAACAGTCAAAATATATGCCTCATTTGGTCGTAGACATCAGTGGGGACAAGAAAGTACAGAAAAATATCTGATGATAAGCTTCCATTTACTTGGGATTGGTTCTGGTGTGGCCCTGCAAGTGTATGTGCTGGACCGCAAGGTCAGTTTGAACTGCAAAGTCGATGGTTCAAGCTCACCAGCTACTCCTCAGAAACCCTAATCAGACTTGCTATGAGTAGGAACCGACTTGATAGCACTTAACCGACGACAGTAACACAAGAGCAGCAGGGAAGAAAGTCAATACTTCAAAATGGTCTCAGGTGGCTGCATCCTTAGGCACCTAGCCGAAGCAGACACAGGTCCTTCAAGAGCACATTTTAAACTCAGACCTCATTGATGTCAAGAAGCATGTGTTCATAAACATGTTGAGGATATAAGAAAACAAATTACTAGGAACAAGAGTCTCTCAAAACTATGAAATACTTAATCTGATTGCAAATGTGTCAAATACCTTGAGTTACAAGATGCAAAAGATATGTTTACAGTATTTAAAGAAATTAAAGCATTAGAATTATAATGAAAAAATAATCATGATTGACTAGTCATTGGACTTCAAAGCAAAGAAATTTACCAAGGAAAAAAAGAAACATTATAAAAGGATTCATTTGCCAAGATAACATTCTATAAATGTATATAATCCTAATAACAGAACCTCAAAATACCTGAAGCAAAAGCTGATAGACCTGAAAGGAGAAATGTAATTGTAGTTGTTGTTAAGTGCCATCAAGTCGATTCTGACCCATAGTGACCCTGTATAAGGTTTTCAAGAACAGCTGGTGAGTTTAAACCACTGACCTTGCAGTTCAAACGACTAGTATACTTTTAACACCCAGGACCGGGCTGTGTTTCGTTTTGTTGTGCATACGGTCTCTATGAGTCAGTACCAACTCATGGCACCTAACAACAATAACTTTCAACACTCCTCTCAGTAATAAATGAAAATTAGTATGAATATAAAAGCACCGAGTAGCACATTTAGGTCTAATATCTGTAGAATATTCCATCAAACAGTAGCCAAATACATATTCAGGTGTGCATGGAGCACTCATCAAGATAGACTAGTCTTGCATTATAAAACAACCATAATAATGCTTAAAAAATTGAAACTATGCTAAGTGATTATTTAACCATATGGAATTAACCTAGAAATCAACAGCAGAAAAATCTCCAAATATTTGGAGGGCAAATATCATACTTCTCAATAATCTGTCAATTAAACAAACTATAGGGGAGGTTAAAAATAATTTTAGCTTAATGAAAATATAACATCTGAAGCCTTAAAAATGCAGTAGTGTGTTAAGGGAACTGTGTTAAATGTATATATTTTTTAAAAATAAGCTTCAAATCATTATGTTTCTACCTTAAGGAATTAGGAAAACAAAAATGCATATGCCAAAATTAACCCAAAGCAAGCAGAATGAGGAAGATAATAAAGAACAAAAACCATTTAAATTGAAAACATAAAAGCAAAAGAAGAAATAAACCAAAAGCTGGTTCCTTGAAAATATCCATAAAATAAATTGTTGACTCTCTAGAAAGAATGTTCAGGAGAAGCAAAAGAGAGGACACAAATGACCAGCATCAGGAAATAAAAAGTTGTCATTATAGAACCCAGAGATTTTAAAAGGGTTCCATTTATATAACATTCAAGAAAAGGCAAAAAAAACCCACTACAAATTAGTTAAGAGGTGGGGTTCTTGTTTGATTTCAAAGGGAGCAGCATGAGGGATCTTTTTTTTTTTTTTAGGGCAATAGAAGTGTTCTCTGTCCTGATTGTGGTGGTTGTTAGGTGCTGTCTACTTGGCTCTGTCTCATAGAGACCCTATGCACAACTGCATGGAGCACTGCACTGTCCTGCCTTTTCCTCAAAATTGATGTGATGTTTGAGCCCATTACTGCTGCCACTGTGCCAGTCAATCTCATAGAGGGTCTTCCTCTTTTACGCTGACCTTCTACTTTACATGCATTAAAAAGAGACGATTTTCTGTGTGTACATTTTTAAAATATATAATGAAGTATATCTACCAAACACCGACAAAAAATTATCATGCTCATTGCTAGTAAAAGCTAAAAATGTCTACTCATCACTTAAACATAATATTTTAAATCTTGGCTAGTTCAATCAGGTAAGCAAAATAAATTATAAAGATGGAAAAATATTGAGTTGCAAGTTATATGACTTCTACCAACAGAAAAGGCCATTTTGAAAAGATATTTATAATGGCCAGGGCTTCAGTCTAGTCAATTCTGGTTCATCCCTCTGCTGAGAATATGCTTTTCCACCTCGGATATACTGAATGTGTTTTTACAGGAGCCCCAGGTTATTCTTATGTATATGTGGTAATATATAAGTGGTTCTTATGCTATACAAAAGAATCTTGTTTGCAATATAGATTCTGATTCAGTGTATCTGGGATAGAAATTGAAATTCTCAGCAGGAGTACAAACCAGAATGAACTGGTTCAGAGCCCTGACAGTAGTATCAAAAAAATAAAATCCCCAGAAGTAAATCTAATAAAACATAGATGCATGCATATGTATATTGTGTGTTAAAATTTAAGACATTAACTATAACTTAAATAAATGCATCTTTACCTTAGATTGGATGAGCCACTATCCTAGAGATCTGTAGGATAAAATCCCAATAGGGTTTCTAATAAAACTTGACAAGCTGATTCTAGAATAATTAGAGAGGTACATAGGGCCAAAAATAAGCAAGACACTTCAAAAGGGGGGTAGGAAGATAGAGAAGAGAGAACCAAACATATATATTAAACTTTCGTAACAAGACTGTTTTGTAGGAGTCCTGGTGTGGCTCCAAAGAATAAGCATAACCACAAGGTTGACAGTTCAAACCCACCAGCTGCTCCTTAGAAACCTTCTACAATGTAATTATGAGTCAGAAGTGACTCGAAAGCACTTAACAACAACAAGTAATTAGTACAAAGCTAGACAAAGAGACCAATGCACCAGATTAAAAGTCCCTAAACAGACCTATGCAATTGGGAAACTTGGTACATGATATAGGGCTGGCATCATAGATCATGAATAATCAGGTAGTGTGTTCCATAAAGGGTGTTGGGTAACTGGTAATCCTTCTGAGGGAGAAAAAAAACAGACATCCTTACCCCACATTCCCGATACATCTAGAACATAAATATGAAAGCCAAGACTTTATATAAAGTTGGAGAAGAAAAGGCAGAAGAGTGTCTTTATGACCTCAGGACAGAAAGAAAGATTTAAATGATATGAAAATCACAACTATAAAGTAACATATGGATATATTTTATAAGACTGAAATTAAGAACTTTTTAACAATAGACATCATAAAAAATATTAGGAAAGTCACAAAATGGGGAAATGTTGCAGCAGATACAAATATCAAAGATGACTTTTTTTACAGTGTTGTTTTTTTTTTTTCTTGAAATACTTTCCAAGAAGGAAAGGTGCATTAGACCCAAAGCTAGCCTTAAATATTCAAATGTTGTTAACCTAAAGAACAGTTCCTCCGGAAATACAATGTTTTACACAATTTACTTTCCCCCTAAAACAGAGCTTTTGTAAGTCTAAATTTGTTCTTTTTATTTGTAGACACTGTTGATTCTATTACTCCTGACAAAGTACGAGGTTTAAGGGATATGTTGAACAGCAGTGCAATGGACATAATGTATTATACTAGCCCACTTTATAGGGATGAAGTAAGTATCATGCTGTCTTATTGCTGTTGGGTATCTAAAAAGAGTGATGACATATGAATGTCCTGGATTTTAAGAGCAAATGAGCCAGTGCAGGCATCTATTAATCTAAATACCCAGTATTTAAGAATGAATTTGATGGTCTTCAGACTAGCCTTTGGGACCCATAATAAAATGGATCGTAGTCATGAAAGTGGGAGGTGGGTTTGAAAATAGCTATTTGAAGAATATTAGTTTTCTTCTATTTGATTAATGATGTCTATGATTATTGTCCTTACAAAAATGTTTTAGGCACTTAAAAGTTTTTTACATGTAGTAAGACTTACTTTTATTGCCTCATTTCCATAATCGATTCAGTTCATACAAGGGGGCTTCAAAAAGTTCATAGAAAGATGGTATTAAAAGATAATGGGTCCCTTAACAAATAATAAATAAGGGGGAATCTGATGCAGACCATGCAGACCTGGTCAGGAGTTCAAGTCCCTGTGGGCCCAAGCGTTGCTGACCGTCCAAACCATAGGCTCTGAGGATCAGACTTTAGCCACCTAGCAGACATAGCAAAATGTCCCTTATCTGAATATTCAGTTATGCTGGTTAGTAATTCCATACATGAGCCCTGGATACCCACAGATAAATGTAAAAACCTTCCCTAAAAGCCGAGACTGTAAATTCCAAAAAGGCAAAGTTTTCCCCCCCCAAAAAAAGCTAAAGAGAATAGAGAGAAACTCTGTTAACTGATGGTATGTGGAGGGGATTATATTCAATGTAATGAAACAAGGTATATGAATGTTTGAATGTGAAACCGATGATGTGCCCTGAAAACTTTCACTCAATCCAAAATAAAAACCTTAAAAAAAAAAAAAAAGATAATGGAATTTTTCTACAAACTTTTTGACTCCCTTGCTAATACTTCTTAAGTCTTTAACATTACTGATGCATCTCACATATAACCCTAAAGGAGTTGAGGAGTGAAAGTTTATTCAGAAAGATGATAGAATCTCTCGTTTGTTTATTGGCAAGGGAAAAGGAATTTTATTTCATAGGGGTAACTTACATTTTTTAATTGCCTAACATGTTATGAATCTGGCTGCTAATCTCAAGGTCAGCAGTTTAAAACTACCAGCAGTTCCATGGGAGAAAGATGAGGCTTTCTGCTCCCATAAAGATTTATAGCCTCAGAAACTCTATGCAGGTTCATCATGAGTCTGGACCAACTCCACAGCATGTAACCACCACCAGCATGTATTAGTGTCTTAGTGTCTTAGTCTCCATAAAACCCTATGAGTTGGGGTTACAATTAATAAAGATACTCACTTGAAGAATGAAAAACCTGCTGCAATGAAAGACTCAAGATTCGTTTGCCTTTTGGACATCTTACAGGTGGACGTCCCATAGACACCTCAAACCAAATCATGTCTTTCACTCTATTTTAAAATTATAAACTCATTAGAAGGAAATGTGAAATAATACTGCTATTTTGTTAACCAGGTGGAAGACAGCTTGAGATCAGGATGATAAAAATGAAAGTAGAGGCCTAGCTATAATATTGTAGAAAACGTATAGTCAGTGCACTTTCCAGCTACCTTAGCATCCAACTCATAGCACAGCGACACTGTATAGGGTTTCCAAGGAGCAGCTAATGGGTTTGAACCTTGACATCCATTGCATATCCTGCAGCACCACACCATGACTCCCTAAAGGTGAGGAATGCCTGGTGAATGAACGTCCTTTGGTTTTTTTTGATAGATCTATAAAATTGGTAGAATTCTATACCAGTTAGGGTAGATCTAGTGAATGTGGAGGCAGAGCTGGAGTTGGGAAATCAATTTGAAGCCGTCATGGTAAAGATAGGATTAGACAAAAATCATCAGTGAATGGTAAATCTAGGGAAATTTTTTTTATGATGGCATATTTGCACAGTGTTAAAAGGTCTCTCCATCAATCATTTATTATTTAAAAAGGAGCAAACAGAGAGAAGTTGAACAATACCTTTACAAGGTGCTTCTGGGAGGAAAAGGTGGGCATCACTTCTGCAGTATTCTGACTGAAAATATATAACCTCAGTCCAATCATGAGGAAAACAACAGACAGACAAAATGGGGAAGTTTAGTGGAGGACTGTATTCATTAAAAATACTGTATCAGTAAAGATTTTTTTTTAATGACTGGAAAAAGTTCCAGAGTAAAGGAGATAAAAGAAAAATGATAGTTGATATAACAACTGATCTTAAACCATATGCTGTAGTAGAGAGGGACAAATACAGTAAAAATATTATTAGTTCAACTGATAGAATAAGAATGCAGATGGTAGATTAGATGAAAGTATTGTATCAGTGTAAATTTATAAAGTTTTAAACTTTAACTATGGAAGATAATAGTTCTAGTCTGGATTCCTAAAATACATGTGTGTTGATGAAAATAAATGATACAGCTAATGGGATAAAATATCAGCAACAGAGTAATCTGACTCAATGGTGTATAAGAACTCTTTGATTTTATACTTTATAACATTTTGTAAATTTGAAATTATTTCCAAATAAAAAGTTAAGAGAGAAAGGGGAGGGAGGTGGCCAACACTTTCCCCTGGAGATTCTGAAACTGATTCTAAGATTGGAGCCTGGGAATTTGTAATTTTAGCAGTTTGAACAATACCTTTACAAGGTGTCTCTGGGAGGAAATTTTATTTTTATCATCCTGATCTCAAGCTGTCTTTCACCTGGTTAACAAAATTGCATGTAGACACACCATTCCTTAACATCCAGTATTAATTCATACTTCCTTCTAATGAGTTTATAATTTTAAAACAGGGTGAAAGAGATGATTTGGTGTCAGGTGTCTAAGACCATCAGGGAAGTTTGGAAAACACTATGTTAAGCATTGTAAAGAACAAAAGGGAGCAAGAAGAGGCGGGGAGGGTAGTAAGAGATGAGCAAAATGTTCTTATATTCAAAAAAGGAAAAATGATTCTGTACATTTAAGCCCATTTAGGTTAGTGTTAGTCGATGTTCTAGATTACTTGTAAGGCTGGTTTCTGGTTTCTTAGAGGATTAGTGATAAATAGTAGCCAAAATGGGATCGCTGGGAGTAAGTCATGCATGGTGAGTGGATCTCATTTGGGTTTTTGATAGGGTATATAAAATTGGTAGGAGTGGGAGATTTTCTATCCCCGCACATCTGGTCATGGAATAAAGATATAGCAGTCTGTTTCTATGAAGACTTAAAGCGTTGGAAACTTTAGGGGGCAGTCGTACTCTATCCTGTAGAGTTGCTTTGAGTCAGAATCAATTTAGCAATGGGTTGGATTTGGGTGAGTACTTCTGGATATGAGGCAGTTTCCCATGATTTTCTTAAGACTAGTATGGGGAGAGACAGACAAACAACCAAAGAGTATTTCCCCCCTTTCTCTCTCAGCGTTTGGAGTCAAACAGATGCACATTCAGAACCAGCCACTGTGACTTTAGATCAAATGTTTCACCTTCTTGGCTTCAACTTATAAAATGGGAATGAAATACTTACTGATAAAGGTTGTCATGAGGACTAAAGATAATAGGATGTATATAAAGTTCCCAGTATAATTCTGGTCTTTAGTTAAGCATTCAAGTTGTGATTATGTATATGGTCTCTGTCTTTATATATTCCAAGGACTTCCATGTTTTTCAAAAAAAAGGAGTGTGTGTATGGAAAGTGGGGGTTATTCAGTTACCCTTAGAAAATAAAATAAGAAATAATGAATCAAAAATATGAGAAAGAAGGAATATGTAGGTTTCTAGGTTTCTTTACTTGTAATAAAGAACTGTGTATAACTTTAAAAACAAACAACAAGCCCACATCCATCAAGTTGATTCTGTCTCATAGTGACCCTACATAGGAATTCAGAGACTAAATTTTCACAGGAGCAGATCGCCTCAGCTTTCTGCCTTAGAGCAGCAGCTAGGTGTGAATTGCCAATCTTGCAGTTACCAGTCCAGTGCTGATCTCAACAGTACTACCACGGCTTCTTTTATTTTAACTGTTATTTTTAAATGCTACCAAGTTGGTTTCGACTCATAGTGGCCCTGTATGGGATTTCTGAGTAGCAGCTAGTGGGCTTGAACTGCCAACCTTGATGTTAGCAGCCCAGTGCTTATTTACAATACTACTCAGAGCTGCCTAAAACTAGAATTGGCCACTTCAGAATGAAAATTCTGGGGACAATACTGAGTAACCATTTATCAGGAAGGATATCAAATGGACTTCTAAACCTTCATAGCAGTTTGAAACAGGTCATGTGTCAGTCATTGTGTCATAAGTCAGACCTTTTGAAGACAACAGGATTCCTAACTATCAGAAACCCTTTGGCCTTTTGTTGTCGTTACTACTAATTATTATCGAGCTGGTTCCAACTTATTGTGACTCGTAGTACAACAGAACAAAACACTGTTCAATCATCCTCATCAAACAGTCCTTGCTATGTTTCAGCTCACTGTGTCAGTCCATCTCATTGAGGATCTTCCTCTTTTTCCCTGACCTTCTTCTTACCCAAGCATAATGTCCTTCTGCATCAACTGGTCCCTCCTGACATGTCCAAAGTACATGAAAGGAAGTCTGACCATCCACACTTCTAAGCAGTATTCTGACTGTATTTCCGAGACAAATTTTTTCACTCCAATGGCAATCTGTAGTATATTCAGTATTGCTCACCAGCTTAATACAAAGATATCAATTCTTCTTTAGTCTTTCATATTCATTGCCTGACTTTCACAAGCATAAGCTGTTATTAAGTGCTGTCGAGTTGGTTCCAACTCAGTGCAACCCTGTCTAGGGTTTCTGAGGAGCAGATATGGGTTTGAACTGCTGACCTTGCACTTCAAACCTACCTGGAGGTCCAGTGCATTATCCTGTTGCGCTACACCAGAATTGAAGATACCATGGCCTGAGTCAGATGCACCTTATTCCTTAAGATAACATCTTTGTTTTTGAACACTTTAAAGAGGTCTTTTGCAGCAAGTTTGCCCACTACTATAT